CCACGGCACCCGTCAAAATCGTCGAATTGGCGGTGGTAGTCCGTGCCTTTCGCCAATGGCCAACAGATCTCAACATTGTCACCAACTTCGCTTCTTAGCTGGGCCTCTCTAACTACTGAAATTAACAGCATATTGTGCAGACAATTGTTCACAGAGAGGCCCAGCTAAGAAGCAAAGTTACTGACCAAAATTGGTTCTGTATTACCTCAAACCAGGACACTGGGTCACACAAGAGATAAATAGGTGTTAGCCTTATCAGTTCTTTGAGCACGAGGCCTACATTATCCAGACTCCACATTATCTACCCCTTGGCTACAGTCCTTGTAGCCAAGGACTCTCAAAGTCCTTGCAAGTGTTTGAGACATTACTCAGTGAAGCTCAGAGGGCCTCCCCCGTCTTTTGTCACTCACCATTTGTTTAATTTACAAGTCGTGTCTTACAGCCGCCAATCCTCAATTCTTTACTCTTACAAGAGAATGGTTGTTTTTATTGAATTGGCAGCTGGGCAAATATTTCATCATGCATGCGCGGTCCCATACTAACCTTCCAGGCCCCATTGCCGAAGGCAATGCACAGGCGGATCTGGTGGTGGGCCCGGTTGTGGTCCCAAACACATTTGAGCAAGCTTGTTTGTCACATGAAGTTTTTCATCAAAATGCTAAGGCATTAGCTCATATGTTTTCCATATCCAAGGAACAGGCTCAAGCCATTGTTGCCCCCTGTCCAGACTGCCAGCAAGTGACGCCGGCTGTCCCCGTTGGCATTAATCCCCGAGGTCTGTCGGTTCTAGAACTTTGGCAGACAGACATTACCCATGTTCCAGATTTTGGCAGGCTGAAATATGTGCATGTGTCGGTGGACACATTTTTGGCATGTATTTTTGCCTAGGCAAGCGAGCTAGAGATGTAGTTTGGCATCTAATGGCTGCCTTTGTGGCGCTGGGTGTCCTGCAGCGCGTAAAGACCGATAATGGTCCTGGCTATACGTCCTGTCAGACGGCACGCTTTTTCCAGGTGTGCAGGGTTTCCCATGTTACAGATATCCCCCATTCTCCTACTGGTCAAGCCATCATGGAACAGGCCCATGGGACGCTCAAAGCCACGTTGCAAAAACAAAAAGGGGGAATGGCCCTAGGCACACCGCCAGAACATTTAGTAAAAGCATTATATGTGTTGAATTTTTTAAATCAATGGACGGATGGAGAGCCGGCCATGATAAAACACTTTACCTCTCTCTCGGAGGGACTGCAGTCTCTCCACGGGAGAAGGCACAGGTGATGATCAAAAATATGATGAATAACCAATGGGGAGGTCCGTACCCGCTGATAACTTGGGGTCGAGGATATGCTTGTGTCTCC